ACTTAAGCCCATAGCCTCCAAAATCTCATATCAGCAGATAAGATTAATAGGACTTTATTTTGCCCACTAGTCAAATCTGGCTTTAAGCCAGAAATATTTTGAGAAAAGTGCTTATTTATTTAGAATTGTAGCTTTATACATAGTACATTAAGACATAATAACTTTTGCTCTGGAAAGAATTTTTTTTTTAAATTATGACTACTTATTGGACACCAACTGAATCCAGGAAATGGCTACTTGTTTATGAAAGGTAATATGATGCATTTCTTAAAATCTGGCATATCTAAAATCTAAAGTATAAAAATCAATTTCTAAGTTGCTTCAACATTTCTATTGATTGCTTCCCCATATAAAAAAGTACTTGAAGTCCAGGAGTATGCATAGGCATTTATAATTTCCAATCAATATTGCAAACTGAAAGTTGATGTTTATATCACGTATATATTATTCAAAAGTAACCTAAGCCCCAAATTCATAATTAGACTTGAGTTAATATATAATGGTTACATAGAACCCAAGAATATTTTACTTTTATAGTATCATCTCTTTTCCTCTAAGCTTGCTAATGCCAAACAACAAAAGGAAAATAAGATTGTCACCATTATAGAATATTTCAACAAGCCTAATGTAGATTTTATACTTATTATAACAAACATTCTATTAGTCTAGACTTCTCCAGATAACCATTAAATGTAACTACAGGAACAGTGTTTATGCAAAAACATTTAGTTTGGTCACAGCTGGAAGCCAAATGCCAAATGTAAAGCTCCTATAATTAAAAAAGAAAAAGTGTTTGAGGTCTGTCCTATGAATAAATTATCTGTAGCTAAGGGGAAGAAAAAGGCTGTGCAATACCTGGCCTTCTAACAATCTAGGTCATCACATTACCTATGCCCAGTTCTCTTTTCATGCTGAAATGCCTCTGTTTGTGGGAGAATGTGCATAATTCATAACTTGTAGACTGCAGTTACATCACTCTCCTCCAAAACCTTGTGACCTTATGATAGGATTATGAAAGTAGTCTCTGGGCTAATTTCCTGGACTCTGGTTGGTCTATTTCAAATCAGTTTGGGGTACTTTAAAATCAGTATTCCTAAACATCCATTTGATCTGATCTCTCCCTTTTTATATCCAGAGTAGAGCCCAAACTTCTTACTCTGGGGACCAGGATCTACCACAAACTGACTTTATTTTCACTGTCGGGCCTTGTCTGTGACTTCTGTCCACTGGAACTCCATTCCGTTGGGAGCTGCTCTGTTTACTATGTTATGAACCTCCAAAGATTTGTCCCTCCCTTTACTCTTTTTGTTTCCTTCTTTCTACCAATCCAGTCTCATCCTCTAAAGAAGCATTCTTCAGCCTATGCCCCTCTACACCATTTAGTGACAACACCACTGCTTTGGCCGTTTTGCTCTATGGCCTTTAATTCTTTACTCGCTGATATTGATATGAAATTAGATTATAAGCCCTTGAGAGCAGGGACCATGGCTAATTTATCTCTCATTTTCCGATAGTGACTTCCAGGGTATGTCTCAGGTATTTACTCATTATTTGACAAACACTTTTCTGATAAAACAAAAGTTCCTAATCAGGATTACATAAATGTAAGCACAAATTCAAACACAAGTTGAGCTCACAGTGCTCTCCTGTATTAAAGGTTAAAACTGAATAATGCAGAACAGTGCTGGTAATTTGGGATCCTCTACAGCTGATCTCTTCAGTTGCCTGCGGGCTGCCAGATAAACGTGTGTTTTCACTTCAGGTTAATGCTCATTTACAAAATATTCACCGGCTTTAATCTGAAGTGGCAGTTTTATGTACAGCTTAGATACAAGTTCTAATCATGGAACTAGATGGTACATACATATTGTAATAATTCTTTTACCAAAAAGTATGTAAAGAGAGTAAAATAAGCTATAATATGTTGAGAGCATATTATTGAGAACTTGAAACCACAGATTATCACAGACCTAAGGATAAGAGGACTCAGGCAAGAACTAGAAACTCCGACCAAGGGCCTAGCAAAATGTAATTGATTCTGTATGTTGTTTTATTTTATTTTTAATTAAATTACATTGTAGAAGAGTGAAATTCTGGGTATAACTCTGCCAGAATGAGATCTGTATTCCCTTAGTTTAGAGGTACAAAATGTAAGGCAGTTATACACTCTTTAGGGCAGAGAGAAGGCAGAATTAGTAAGTGAACAAATCTGATGCAGGGTTTGGAAGACTGATTTAAAAATCTATGGCAGGTACCACAATATCTTTAGTTTTTTGTTTGGAATTTCCTGGGCTGATACGTAGATATCTAACATTAACACAAAGCAGAACATAAGTAATTAATCAGTAGGATACTAACATGGTATGTTGGAAAGAAGAAAAAAGAGGTGAAATTTAATTGGAGCAACTAGTGAAATCTTCATGAGGAGATGACATAGTAAGCTAGAATTTGAAGTAAAAATAGAAGAAAATAGTGGAACTCCAGTCTAAACAGTGTAAATAAAAGTATGCTGCAAAAAATGGCAAGGTGTTTGAGGCAGTAGAATGAGGCTGGAACAAAGGGTAAACTGAGAGAATGGTAGAGCAAAAGACTGAAAAAGCATGTTGGGACAAGATCGTTAACCACCTCTACTGCCATGTTAAGCAGTCTGACAATAGATAATCACTAAAGTATTCTGAGGGCTGTAGACAGAATCTGAGGAAGATTACGATAACAAGGAGAAAATTAAATTTTAATTAGGCAGAGGTAGGGGGCCAAGAGAACAGGGAACACTTTTTTATAATTGTATAGAACAAAGTGATACAAAAGGGTACCTAGGGATTATTTGTGTCATTAACAAAAGGGAAGTGTGTATGAGAGGGATAGTGCGCCGGGGGACAGTGTGCATGAGCAAGCTTTAGAACTGTGGGTTGAGAGCAACATAAAGCTAGAGATGCCAGTGAGCTGAATTCGGGACAGGTTCTTTCCCAGGCATCCCTTGGGAAGAAAAATACTAAGCCATAAGGGCATAAATGGAAACACTCTAGGAATAATTATGGGATTCTGTAAAATATGTTTCTGATAGCTAGAGTGTTGATCGACTGTAAGAAACATTGGGCAAATCAGCACTTTCATCTGAATTTATGTTTCCTCAAGTTGATCTAAGAGCCTAGTGTTTTTCCCAAAAAATAATATAGTGAATTTTGTGGTCTTCATCTGTACTCAGTTAATCTTGTTTCTGTAATCTGATAGGGTTTCTTGATACTTTTTCCATTTTTCTTATGCCCCTATATATGTATTTTTGCTCCTCTAGTCTCTTCATCTGAACAGTTTTAGGCCCCTTTCCCCTTTATTTAGCCATGCCCATGTGTTTTTACCATCAGTTTCAGTATAGCACTACAATTCCTTTGAACACCTCTAACTACACAGGATAATTCTGTAATTCTGTTTTTTTGTTGTTGTTTTTTTTTTCTTTTTTTGGTATAGATAACTATATTGGCATGAATGGGAAAACAAGGAGGCTTATCCTGTTCCCCATTTTGTAGAAAATAGTTAGTGTCATAGAGTATTCATTTGCAGAATATTATAGATCTTATCCATGAGTAGTTGATGGATTATAGATATTTGATTCAGTTAAGTTATTCAAGAGTTTTTTACTGAGGCAAAAATCGCTTGAGGGCTGAGATTGTGTTGGACACTGAAGATAAACCAGAGAACTGGACATAGTCCTTGATGGAAGGCAGCCACTTAGAAATGACTAATTAAAAAGTGACATATTGTCCAATGGAAGTATAGGAGAACAGGGAAATATTTTTTGTCTAAATAATAAATCACAGAATATAGAATGAATTATATTCAAGCATTTAGGGATACATAGTAATATACATATTATTACTCTGATAGAATTTTAAGCTATGCTAGTGATCACTGGCAAATTTTTAATAAATAAGTAATTTTTATTTAGCATAGTAGCTAATTTAAACCTTGGAGGAGTGTTTCATTACATTCTCCCTCAGGGTTCAACTATTAATGATTTATCTTTAAATATCAAGTAAGAAGGGATATCTGAATTAGGATACATGTTATCAACCCAGCACATATGTCACCTTCCTTTACTCTCTGTATGAGCTACCTCTGATTCAAAATCAAATAAAGTCTATCTTATCATAAGTCTAACAGGAAGTTATAATATACACTATCTAATACTGTATTTATGATTGTTTTCATATTTCAAATAATAAGAAATGTCAAAGCTGGCTTCTCAAGAAAAGGCAAATTCAGTGACATGGAAGTTGAAACTGAGATGTTTTAAATGACTTACTGATGCTTTTAAATATTTCTATTATTTTATAGTACACACAGACAGAATTCCATATTTCCTACTGTTTCTTTAGCTGCATGTCTCTTTCTCATAGTTATCATTAAGAAATCTTGTTCCTGATTTTATCTGAGGACAAAGAAATTACCAGGTAATCTGAGGAGAACAAAACCTATGATTTTAAAAAGCCAGTGAGACAGTGTCACTAGCTAATTTTCTCTAAGTGAACTTCTTTTAAAATTCTTGAGCAAAAATATATTTTAGCTTTAAAACATTAAAGGATTAGAAAATAGTCTCTTATGATTCCAAATTACCTGTAGCCCAAAATGAGGATATTCAGAATTTGAAGTGGAAAATAGAAGCAATCGTTAATAAAGACCAAGCCCACAAAAGCCTTTGCTTTTGCTTCACATTCATGGCCATTTCAGGTAAAATCACTGTTCTCTCGTTTGTTTTCTCCAGCATGTATTTTCTAGTGTTGAAATGACTGCATCGCTTGGTTAAACATAAAAGCATTATGTACTTCATTTTAGTACATGTGTATGCATGTAAACACAAAATATCTTAAACAGCCAGAAAGTTTTGAGGGGTAAAGAAATGTGCTTCTTTTAGGCATTGTAAAATGCTTTAAAGTTCGTGAAAACTTACAAAACTGGCTGCATATTTAAGTGCCTTTTTACACATTTTCTCTTTATCGCTACAGATCTTCATAAACAATGAATGGCATAATTCAGTGAGTGGCAAGAAATTTCCTGTCTTTAATCCTGCAACTGAGGAGGAACTCTGCCAGGTAGAAGAAGGAGATAAGGTGAGTTTCTGAACACTAGTTTTATTTTATGCCAGGTTTCTTGGTTTCTTGCCATTCTGAGTTCCTGAACCCCATTGCAAGTTCCAAAAGACATGTCATGAAAATATGGTTTCTGGGGCAGCCTAGAGAAATTGTCTAAGTTGTCCTTGTTTAAAAAAAAAAAAAAAATTCTCTCAGTAGTCATGTAATAATGATGAATCTGTGCTTCTGGGTGTCATGGTGATTGTTTTTTTCACATTTTTCCTTTATTTTCAATTGAAATAGTATATAGATTTATTTTACAGACTGCATAAGAAGGGGTTGATCATATGTTATAAAGGAGAGAAATCCTTGGCCAGGTGCTGTGGCTCACACCTGTAATCCCAGCACTGTGGGAAGCCAAGGCAGTCAGTTCACTTGAGGTCAGGAGTTCGAGATCAGCCTGGCCAACATGGTGAAATACTGTCTCTATTAAAATACAAAAATTAGCCAGGCATGGTGGCACATGCCTGTAATCCCAGCTACTCAGGAGGCTGAGGCAGGAGAATCACTTTAGCCCGGGAGGTGGAGGTTGCAATGAGCCAAGATCATACCACTGTACTCCAGCCTAAAAAAAAAAAGAAAAAAGGAGAGAAATTATTTTATTCATATGAAATTGTTCTTTTGATGTTGCTAGATAAAAGTAAAAAGTTATTATAGAACTTTTAGAACAATATATTACCAAGTTATTTCATTAAAAATCACTGCATTATTTAATACCTTTAAAAATTAATTGTAGAATAACTTAAATTGACTAAAAAATTAAAAATGTTATTTTCTAGCTAATAATAGCAACAACAACAAAAATGAACGTTTATTTAGTGAAAATTGTTCTCAAGTTCTAAATGCTATCTTCATTTAAAACTTAAAGCAACCCTATAGGGGAGGTACAATTTTGAGTCATTTTTACAAACAATAATGAAATGGCAGAGTAGAAAGGCTGAGTAATATACTCAAGGTGACATTGCTAATAATTAATGACATCAACATTAAAATGCTGCCCCTCTAACATTATAACCTGTGCCTAGTGGAGGATACTGCTTCATCTTGTCATTATTATGAAAGTAAGATAGGGTAATATTAAATAGCCTTTCTTATTGTAAAAGTAAGATAGCCTAATGTTAAATAACCTTCTTACTTTCCTCCTGGGTGAGGAGAGTAAAAAACTTAGGAATTTTTATCTGAACATATAAGTGTTTCTAAGTCTAATTTGAAGTGATGTTTCTGTTCTTTAGTTTCCCAGGGGTTACCAAGCTTTACATTTCTGTAATGTGAAGAGGTAGTTTTTTATTTTTTATTTTTTGCTGCAGGAAAAGACTACTGGGCAATTAAAGTCAGCAACACCCAAGGATAATATTGTTCACGACAATGTATTTCAGTTAATTGTAGCAATCACACGTTCCTGCCAGTCTCCTGCCCAGTCTTTTCTATTACTTGAGCCCCAATAAATGAGATCACAAAAATGAGATCACAAATCTGAAGGTACTGGGCCATGCAGACAAACTTATTCCAAGATAGTGACAGACCTGAGGGGGCCCTTTTGGATTTGAAAACAAGACCCAAGTCATAAGGCACAGGAGTACTGAGTTCAGCCACAGAGGTCAACAGTTTGAGAAGCAGAAACAGAATAGAATGATGACAAATTGGCTTTCAGATTCAGATTTTCTGTTTATACCAAAGAGTTCACCAAAGCATGAATTCTCCATTCTGTTTCTCACTGTCTCTGGAAGAAAGTCTACAAACAAAGGTCCTTTATAATATTACACAACCTTGTTTATGGACTCCTTCCCAGGCTACCCCATCAACTTTAGAGTTTCAACTTGACCATGCCCAGCATCCCTCCCCAACCATTGCTTGCTCGTCACTGCCTTTGCACATGTTCACAGCGTAGTCCTCAGGACCTAGTTCAAGTCACCCTCTACAGTAAGAGCATAGATTTTCAATGTTTGTTCTTACCTTCTTTGAGATCCTATTCCTTTTTGTGTAAAATGAGAGATAGGAAAATGCTTGAGGAGTTAAATGTATAAAGCTCTTCAACAGTGCCAGGCATATCCGAAAGCTTCAGTCATGCCAGTGTTTTGTACTTCTTTAAAACCTTCTCTAACCTTCTCAAGTAGACTTGCTCTCTTCTGTGTGGTTACAGAACACTGTATTGGCCTGTATTATAACCTTTGTGTTATACGGCTGTAGGTTAATTTGTCTGAGACAATATGCTTCTTGCAGAGATCAACACTACATCTCTCATTTATATCCTTGGTTTCTGGATATATAGTATATCCTATAGGTATTCTATACTAGATCCTAAAAATATACTATAGATATAGTATATTCTATAGACCTATAAAATATTCTTCTTTTTCATCAAGCTTTGAATTTCCATATATTGCTCATTACTCACCTTAGGAATTTAGTACGAACCGGACTATTGACTGTGGCAGACATTCTCAAAATTTAGCCTGTATCAGAATGTTCATGAAGGCTTGTTAAAGCACAGATAGCTGAGTCCCACCTGCCCTTAGATTTCATTGCAATAATCTTAGAATGGGACCTGAAATTTTTCATTTCTTATAAATTATTTGGTAATGCTGATGTTAGTTGGGATGGAGGTAGGGGAATGCATCTTGAACCACCAAACTAAAGTGTTAAGCTGTTAAGTTGTATCTCCTCTCAGCTGTTAACATTTAACAGGGGTCATGAATTTTTGACACCTAAAAGTTAGTGATTGAAAATTGTATTGTGGTGATCACTCTGCACCTCTCTAAAATGCTACTAAACCAAACTTGGGCAGAGAAATACTGATCATCCCTGGCAAGATCTATAGGTGTCCGGGAAGCCTGTTCCCTCTAAGCCATTCCCAGATATAAGGGAGAACTTTATTCTTCACCTTTCAAAGAGGAATGAATGCGTTTTATCAGAGACTTCAAGAGATGCACACATCACCACCTCAAATGTTCCTCTAGTTGCTTGATAGCTCTAGCAGGCCTAGCAAGATGAGAAAAGCAATAAAGGGCAAGGACAGAGTGAGCCCTTGAGAGCTACCTACTTTCTCTCTCCATTCAGGAGAGAAAACAGATCTGTTTACAGTTTGCAACGAACAAATGGAAAAATATTGTTGGTGTTTTAGTTCTGGAGCCTTGAACATCAACCTTTGCCACTGGGATTAGTTTATTACAAAAACAAATCTCTATGCCAAAATTTCCAGATGAAACCTTGTCAGGCAATCTGAGGACTTTTCTTAGCACAGTTTGTGGGATTTACCTCCTTTCTAAAGTATGTAAGGGAAAGCTGATTGTCAAACTGGAAGCCTTAGAAATGTTTGCCATTGATTTGCTCCGTGCTTCTTGACAATTACTAGTGCTCACTCAAGAGATCAAGGATGCCCATTAACATCTACCCAAGCTTCAAATCAGGCCACAGTGCCAACTGAGTTGGCTGGACATCTGATCACTGAAATTGTTTATGGTATAAACTGTTCATGGTAAACGACTGTTTGAACATCTAGCACCCTTATAGTCATATTCTTTTTTAGCATTATTTTAAAACTTCTTTTAAAATAATGATTACTGTTCTCACAATTTTGCCAACATATGTAGACTCCGACATTGCTTAGTTAAAGGTACGAATCTAGTAAATTACATAGCCACAGTAAACCCAGTATTCTGGATCTGACTCTTTAGATAATGAGCCAAGAGGTTTTAGGGATTTAATTTATAAGTAGAATGGAGCTAACAATGGGCTATATACCGCCTTTCAATGGTATTATAAAGAAAAGAGGAAGGGCAAGAACAAATGGAGGTTACAAAGCGAAGTACAGATGTGGGTGGGAACTGTTTTCTTTTCACTTCAGTGGTTCTTTTAGGCTATATTGACTAATCCTGAAAACTGCTTTAATACTAAGGCATGACCTAACAAATAATTGGTAGGGATAAAAGTAAATGTCCATTAAAGTAAGTGCCTATGACAGGTGTAAAAGTAAAACTGGTCTGATAACTATTTTCTCCATCTCTGAATGAATTTAATATGGAAATATACCATCTGGGAGTGATCGAAGAGTTCAGTCCTTCCTTAACTATGCTTTAGGAGACATTTGATATCTCATCATCATTTCAACTGTCTTTTTACATTCAGCTTCTGGGCTCTCACTTCACAAAAGGAGCATTTTCAGTGCTATAAGCAAAAGTGTTAGTGATGGTGCAAATCTGAGTTAATGTACCAAATTGTTTTCTGTTTAATTTAAAAATCATGTCCCTGGAAATTCCGGCTCTAAAAGAAAAATTCAAAAAAGTATAGGCCTGGAATTAAGAAAACAATAACTCTTATGTCTAATAGTTTTTGAATAATGTATAAGTTTTGTTATAGCAGGGAATCTATTAAAATATTATTTGTTATGTAAATGCCAATGTAATTAAATTAATTATGTAAGGCACTCCCTTATATAAAATCAGTACAACATGATGTGTTTATAGAACAGGTAACCAAATAATTGAAAATTTATTTACTGCCCATTATAGACCCAGAATTGTAAGAAATATTATAGTTTATAAAACAAATAGCAGTACATATTTGTTGCAAAAGAGGTCATCGTTAGGGCAGTCTTACAGAGATATAAGAACTAGATTTTGTAGTCAGATATGAGATCAAATTTTGATTCTACTATCTGCTAGATTTCAAATCCATGAGCCACAGTCTACTCATTTATAAACCAAGGTTCATGATACTTAATAATAATAATATCTATGGGGCTTTAAAGGACTTTCCTTAATGCCTGGAGATTAGTAGGCTGTTAACTAGTAGCTCATCATCAAGCTGGATTACTCTGGCAATGTTTTAGATAGAATTGATATTTGAGCTGGGTCTTAAAGAATATATAAGATTTTGGAAGTAAAGGAGTACACTGGTAGAATATTCTAGGCAAGGAGAACTACAGAGACAAAGGTAAGAAGGAGTTGCATCAAATAGAGTAGAAAAAATGTAAACACGAAGCTTGGATAGGTGAGATTTGGTCTGAAAATTTTGGGCCTTGAAAACCAGGTGGAGGACCCTGGCCTTGAGACTGTAGAAAAAAGGGAACAGGTATAAACATTTGAAAAACAAAGTGATAAGATAAAATTATTTGCAGATTAGCCTGATGGCAGTAGCCAAGGTAGTTTGAGGACAGAGGAGAATGAACTTGAGAAAGTATTAACCACATGAAATAATAAGGTCTAAAATTGTTCAGAGCAATGAAAACTGAAAGGAAGGATTAAAATATGTTAGAACTTGCTTGGTGCAGTGATGTACACCCGTAATCCCTGCATGCCTGTAATCCCACCACTTTGGAAGGCAGAGGCAGGCAAGTCACTTGAACTCAGGAGTTTGAGACCAGCCAGCTTTGGCAACATGGCAAAACTCCATCTCTACAAAAAAATTCGGCATGGTGGCTCATGCCTATAGTCACAGCACTTTGGGAGGTCAAGGTGTGAGGATTACTTGAGCCCAGGGATTCAAGACCAGCCTGGGAGACATAGAAAGACCTCGTCTCTACTAAAAATAAACAATTAGCCGGGCATGGTGATGCACTCCTGTAGTCCCAGCTACTCCAGAGGTTGAGGTGGGGGGATCACCTGAGTCTCATGGGGAGATCTAGGCTTTGATAAGCCATGTTTGTGTCACTGCACTCCAGCCTGGACAACAGAGTGAATCTCTATCGATAGAGATTCTCTCCATAACTCAGGCTGAAGTGCAGTGGTACAGTCTGAAATCACTGCAACCTCCACCTCTCAGGCTCAAGTGATTCTCCCACCTCTGCCTTCTGGGTAGCTGGCATGAGAGGCACATGCCCCCACACCCAGCAACATACCCCGATTTAAAAAAAAAGAAAGTTATATCTTGAGATATCATGCCATAACATATTTCATGGTTTATAATAATGTTTTGGGGTAGTGATCTGGTTCTATGTCTCTTTCATATGATTGAATATTCCAAAAGAACAATCTTTTTACTTCAATCTGCTGTCATTAGCAGAGGGATGATAAGAATGCTGCCAAGTGGAATGTTTATCAAATTTTTAGCTGGATGGACAGATGGTTAGATGCCTCAAGGATTATATAGCTAATGAAGAGGAATCAGAATTCAAATCTGGGTCATTTTCATATCAAACTATATATTAACTAAGATTACTCTATTTCTGCTTCTGCAAGATTACATATAAAATGGGAGAAAAGTAAGGGCATGATCCAAAGGATATAACCATAAGAACATCTTTATTTATAGCAGCATTCTTTAGGGATGTGCTTTCCATATGGCAGAGTTACTTATCTTGAAGCCAGTTTTCCATATCCCTTTGGGAGGCTGAGATGCCTATGATAGCCCATATTTGGCTAAGCCCAATAGCAGGACACTGAACAGAAGGATCCAAATGAAAGCTGTGTCATACAGATCTGTTTAAACACAGAGCAGCATATATTTTATAAGCTCTGGTATCCACAGATCATGCTGACAATCTCAGATTTTTGTGGTTTGCTTTTTCTTTTTTCAAACAGTGCTCTGTAAATTTAGGAAAAAGTTAGAACATGTGGCATGAAACAATGTCTAAATCTAAGCAATCAATGTGATTAACTGAATGCCCAAAATATGCACTGTATATGTATTTCTCAGGAAAGGCAGGCAATACATATATTTTATTGTATATATCATCATTCTCTGAAAAGTTAGACAGTAAGATATACCAGTGTGTGATATATTACAGTGAAAGAATCTTTGCTTGTAATCAGTAAATATTATTACTTAATCAGACCAGATTATGCTTCTAAAATATCTCCCTTTCTCCAGAGCTTCTTAAATTGATGATAAATACTAGAAGAATAGTTTTTTTGTACTTTAATTCACAGATTTCTAAGTTTTGGACTTAATTGAATATAGCCAAAGGAGGAACATGTTAATTTGAGGTCCATTTGAGGGAAAGATATCCTTAGATGGGATTTACCTTAATTGTGCACAACTTTAAAAAAAAAAACTAGGATAATTACTTTTTCTCTCCCCCAATTCTTAAATTGTGTCTCCTGCAAAATATTGCAACCTACTGACCTGTGATGTCATCGCTATTTGTGGAGCTATACAATTTCATGCAGTGGCCAGTCGTATGTACAAAAGAACGCTAGAATCATCTATGCCTTTATGGAGTTTGCAGTGATAGTAGCTATGTTCTGTAAGAACTCAGAAGAGGTCTGAACAGGGATCTGTAGGGGAATAGAGTGGCCAGGGCAATATTCATAACTGATATGGATTGCCAAAGAGCCAAAGAATATACCTGGTGTAGAAAAACACAATAGAGAAAGAAGGAATTGAGTGAAGGTGCTATGAGAGAAGGCAAGGAGGCTAGGCTGAGTGTGCAGTCGCTTTATTCTTTGACTTTGACTTGAATTAATGTAGTTTTAAGCCATGCATCATTAATAAGAAACTGACTTCTTTACCTCATTAGGGATTTAAAAGGATCTCTTTATACCCAGTTGGGAAATGAGAGTTTGTCACATGCACATCCTACTCTATTAGTTCCACTGTCTCTATGCCCTTTTCCCTCTGCACAAGAGGAATGAGCACGTGTTTATAAGGTTTACTCTTCAACAGCAAAGAAAAGTTCTTATTCTCCCTTCAATAGGCTCTTCATGAAAGTGGACAGGCTGTTGAGTCACCAGAGACCAAGGAACATATTCACTATTCTGATTCTTAGGCTTGACCTGGAACTCATGTAACCTAGCCACTAAGAAAGTATAACGTGTGGTGAACAGCAAGGATTCTACAGTCAGATGGGCTCCATTTAAAACTCAGCTCCGCCACTTTTTGTTATTGACCTTGAGCAAAGCTCCCCTTTCTTTTTGCTTTCATTTCTTCATCTGTAAAACGGGGAACCTATTTGTTCCATAAAATTATTGAGAATTAAATGAGTTAATATGTGTAAAGTCAGCAGAACATTACAAATGGGGCAAGCACTCAGATGATAGCAACTATTAAAATCATAAAATATTTATATTCTAGGAAATTCAGCATGTGTTAGGTGTGTGGAGCTCTTCATAGTAAAGACGATTTAGCAGGAGTAAAATGCCAACAGACAGTAGTTGAATGTGCACAATGTGCTAGACTTTGCAATAATGGAGGCACAGTGCCCGTTTATGAGGTTCTTCAGTCTATTTTACAGGGTTATTAGCATTAAATTTGCCACCTAATATGTTTAGCTTACTGAATTGAATTCCCTTTGACTTACAGGAGGATGTTGACAAGGCAGTGAAGGCCGCAAGACAGGCTTTTCAGATTGGATCTCCATGGCGTACTATGGATGCTTCCGAGAGGGGACGACTGTTACACAAGTTGGCTGATTTAATTGAAAGAGATCGTCTGCTGCTGGCAGTGAGTATTACCCAAGCTGGATGGGTAGCTAGAGCTCTCCAAAGCGTTCAGTGTTTGAAATGGCAAGTTGTTTTGGTTTTAGGGATTACTATATGCTCTTTACAAAGAAAATGAAAACATTTTTTGTCCCAATATATGGGACTTTTGACATTAAACTTATTCTCAAATAGTAATCTGCACTTCAATTCTGGATGATGTTAATTTCTGCTCCCATAATAGATTCTACAGTCTAAACTTTGGCAAACCTCAAGTTAAACCAAATTTTAAAAATTTCTTTACCTTAGAACTTCTCAGAGGCTTTAATAAGATCACATAAAGTTTGAGTCTCCTAGAATGATATATTAGGTTTATTCAAACACTTGACCACTGAATTCTTTTGATGGAAAAACTCAAGTTTATTAATGGTGCCCAAAATATTTCTCTAAAATAAGTCGTATTTCTCATTAGTCTAGCCCACTAAGATATTTAATAAATGACTACTTTTTTTCTTCCTGAAATGTGTCTGTTCACAAGGGTCGTAATTAAATGATGTTCTTTTTACAGGTGAAAAGGCAACGAATAAAAAAATCCAATTATTAATGTGTTTATTAAAATTATTTTATTGTGCATACAATTTTTTGTTTGTTTATATTTTAGCAGTTAGATGAGTCAGAGCATAATATAGTTGGGGGAGGGTATTTCCTTGTTTTTTTTCTTCTCAGTTGGGCATTATGATAAAGCCAATCTAACATAAACCAATACCAAGATCAGGTTTCAGAGAAAATTTCATCTTTAGAATCTGAAAGTGGCAGTAACAAAGAAGTCTACTTAAAAAAAAAGTCAACATTAACATGTATGGTTAATAGCAAGTATGGTTATCAAGGACCATTTATTACTCACATATTCAACATAATTTGAAATATGCAAAAACAGAACCGGCAGCTATGTGCAATAAAACTATAGGAATAAAAATGGCCTGTAGGAAGAAAGCAGAATTTGCTAAAACTTGGCTTTTCTCATTTATCTGATTTGTTGACTGCCTATCAGCATAAGATCCTTTGGGGAAAAAAGTACAGGCATACAAAAAGCATGTTTGGTTAAATTTTGACATGGTAGACAGTGTAGTACAGAAGCAAATAGCTTTAACAATTTATCACCTGTCTGTGCATTCCTGCCAGGTAACCGCCCCAGCAGAATATTAGCTCCCAAAAAGCTTAAGGTCCTGCTTAAGAGAAGCCAAGGGGAAGATAGGTCATCTTAAAATGGTTAGGGTACATGACTAGAAAATGTTGAACTTGATAGCCTGACCATTCAAATGGCAATTATGATAATAATGGCAATGCTGGTAGCTTCATAATTAAAATTCTGCTGATGGAAATTCATGGATGAAAAGTCCAGGTGTTATTTAAGTTTGTGTGAGTAGACTGCCTATATACAGAGGGAATGCAAAAATTAAAAATGAATACTGAGGCATCATTAATAGTCACTGACACTAAATTGTCACCCACAATAGATTACAAAATTAGTGAAATTTTGGAATTCTGATCTGACTTAGAAGACTAGGTACCATTCTCACATGCTATGTATATATCAAATTGTGACCAATTCCTAGAAAGTTGGTTAGCAGGAGAACATTCAAAATGAGACTAAGAGAGCACCTGAGTTTAGAAATCAGGATCTCGCTACGCTTTGTGTCCAGATCTTGCTAGTTGACCTCAAGCAAGTCATTTTAACTGTTAAAAAATGGAGGTTGGACAAGATGACAGGATTTCTTCTATTTCCAAAATTCTCTAGCAAATGATTATTCAAAATATTTACTACATATTTTTAATCTAAGACTTTTTGGAATTTTAGATTTGATGTTTGACATGTTTTTCAGACAATGGAGTCAATGAATGGTGGAAAACTCTATTCCAGTGCATATCTGAATGATTTAGCAGGCTGCATAAAAACATTGCGCTACTGTGCAGGCTGGGCTGACAAGATCCAGGGCCGTACAATACCAATTGGTAAGTACCTTTGGGAAACCACTAATGGTGGGGATAGGGGTGAGGAGCTTACTATAGAGCTGAATAATTTCAAACTCTTCCTTTTAAAAATGTTAACCAAATAAGGCAAAATTATTTTCCTCTTGACTTTTTGAGACAACACAGTTTTCAAACTAGAAGTTCTGTTAAGATTCATCAAATGTCTTTTAAAGTTGTTTCAGCATGACCATGAAGATAACATTATAGATATTTTAGAAAATGTTAAAGTAAGAACATTCGTATGGCATAATTACTGATTTGAGGCAATTGTCTCTTTAAGGGCCCAAACTTTTTAAAGCTGGCCTCTGAAATTATTTATTTGGGTTTTATTCCAATACTGGCATTTATATCCCTTCTGTAATGTAATTATTTAAGCTTCTTTACATGTTCCAGTATAAGTCAGTTATGGTCATCCGTGCCTGGTCAGACTGAGTGTAGTTAGACTATACTAATTAAACAAGCCAGTTCACACTGATTCATTTCAAATATCTTTAGAGCAAGATGGGACTGTGTTTGTAGCCTGAGTTAAGGGTTTGTGTGTGTGAATGTGTATGTATGTGGTATTTTAGTGGGGTATGCACATAATGCAATAGAAATATAAAAAATACTTCATGGGAAACATGAAAATGCACCTATTTAGGAAACAATATGGGTATAATTTAATTCACTCAAACATATGAACTTTAGGAACACAGTGCCCTCCAGGACACTGTATTCCTAAATACAGTGTGCATTTTCAATCTAATTGGAGCATCCAGGAGGTCAGAAGTGATAGCAGGAAGTTGAGAGGAAAGAATGACCATGATAATCTAAGAAATGTGACTACTTTAGAATTGTGTTACTTTACTCTGGAACAGAATGGGAGAAGTTACTTAAAACACAAATAGATCTTGATAAAGAGAGTTCCTGTCGAAGCCAGGAAGCTTCTGTGGGAACTGGAACAGAATTGAACATAAAGCATAATGTATCTCTCAGGATGACCACATCAAACTTCAGGACACATAAATTGGTCAAATTTAGATTGAAAATAAATGCCTTTGACTTCTGGCATTTTCTTCATGTATTGAGAGAATTTGCTTTTATTGTTTGGTAGGCAAATAAAACACATTTTACAACAAGTCAGCGGGAAAGTCTTATTACTTATAGGGAGATTTTCTTTTTAATTCTACTTTTTTAATTTTACTAATTCTAAAAATTACAACCTTTAAAAAGAATTATCTTATTGGTAAAACTTTGGCCTACCAGAAACAAATTTGAATGTGGTTCTTTTCTTAGCCAGAGACCTCCTACTTTCTTTCTCACCCCTTTTTATAAAACTCTGAGAATAAGGATGATTTTCAAATCAGACCTCCTAGATGATGAAAGGAATAATTAATTATCTTTCAGATTTTTTTGTTTTGCATCTTTGATTTCACCTACTCAGTTTTAAGGTTCCTGTCATTTCAAATTACTATGTTAGGGCTTCACTTATTTTGTGAATAGTTGGAGATACGGATGGTCTCCTTTTCTTGACCTCGTGACCCACCCACCTCGGCCTCCCAAAGTGCTGGGATTACAGGTGTGAGCCACGTGCCCAACCGGAGATGTGTTTTTAAAATTATCGTCTACACTTTTCTCTCATCAGCCCTAAACCGCCATTTTGTGAATGTCAAATACATTTGTTTATATATGATTGTATGTATTTTATTTTTCAGATGGAAACTTTTTTACATATACAAGACATGAACCTATTGGTGTATGTGGCCAAATCCTTCCTGTAAGCTTTTCTCCTATATAATTCTCAGTTTCAAAAAGAGTTCTTATTCGATCTAATAATGAAGCTTTCTCTAACACAGATGGATGCTTATGTATTTGTTAAATGTGGAGTTAAATGTAAGATTTGTTGCACTTAGTCTCCCCGTGACTAAACTTCTTGGATATGAATTAGGTAGTCCAAACATCTGTCTTTATCTTGGCATATCTCTTAAGAATGTTTTAATACTACATCATCCACAAATATTAACCCTTTACTCTGGGTTGTTTTTTAAAATTTGCATTAGGTACTCTTTATAAGAGCCATACTTTACATGTATATGGCAAGGTGCTCTCCACTGCACATCTGCAGGACAGCATTTTAGTGAAATGTCAAAGGGTCTACTATTCTCCAGTGCCCTTTCTCATTGAGACATCTCATCATGGAGAACAGTAGCTCCCAGAGTGTTCAACTCATGAAAGACATTTGTTAATCAAAACAGAAAAAAGAATACCAGAGGCATTTGAAGCACTGCATGGAATGGAATATATTTTACCTTTAAGTAAGAGGTTCAGATCTCCATGTTTCTCTTAGATAAGGTAGTCTTTTTAAGAGAATTGTGAAAATTTTTAAGCCCAACAAACAGGAGACTATCTAAATGATTTCATTTTAACTGCCGTGATTTAAAAGGCTAAACCAAACAAATGGTGGTGAAGTTCTTAAGTGAAGAAATGGTTATGACTTATCATTTGCACCAATGAGATTGAAATGTATTCATATCAGTATTTTAATAAAATTGCTTATTCAAAAATCCCAATAAATCTATAAAAACGATGTAATTTTGAACACTGATAATAGCTAATATGTACTACGTGTCTATGATAGACCAGTAACTGCATTGAGCACCTCGCTGCCTTTCTTGATTAATCCTCAAGAGAGCCTTCTGAGATAGAGAGGACTATTATCAGCACTCATAGATTATGAAATAGGATACAGAGAGCATGTAACTTGTGTGAGTTCACATGCTGGTCAGTGATTGAGCTGAGATTTGAAACCAAGTACTTGGCCTCTGGACCCTGGACATGTTTGTCTTTAGCAAGATATTTATCCTGGAAATAAAAGCTACTAAATAATAATATTGGGTAAATAATTACAATAAATGACCTACAAAGAAGGAGAGTAATCATACTTCTTTAACATTTTCAGATAACTTACAATATGCTTCGTAGTAAGCTAAACCATGCAGTGATTTATTTTTCCTGGTAGAAAAAGAACTCAACAGCACTTGATTAAATTTTGGGATTCTCTCCTACTTCCTTCTCATATCTTATATCTGCTTTATTTAGAGCATTTTAGCATTTTCTAGTTGCTTTTAGCAATGAAGTATAATATGCAAGATGATTTCACAAAACTACTGTAATTATTATTTAACATCTATAGGGAGTGTATAATGTGGAAGTTGGATTAGCAAATGTGCCTTTCACAATACAAAGAATCTATTGTTACATTTTGCTTTCTAGTGGAATTTCCCGTTGGTCATGCTCATTTGGAAGATAGGGCCTGCACTGAGCTGTGGAAACACTGTGATTGTCAAACCGGCAGAGCAAACTCCTCTCACTGCTCTCCACGTGGCATCTTTAATAAAAGAGGTAAGTCTCCCTAAATCAAAATATGCGCAAGGACTCAAGAGTCCTAACTTATAATAGGAAGACTTCATTTGGTGCTACTGTGAACTGCATTATTTACAAATGGCTCCTGTCCAGTGGTGGGAATACATTTAGCATGACTGTCGCTGGCTGCAATTTCTGGCAGTCACCCCAAATGAGTTGCTGCCCAAATGTGGACAGGAAGCCAAACGCAAAGGCTTGGTGTCAAACAGTCACCTCGGGATCACGTTTTTGCTTATTTGTCCAACTCTCATGAACATAAATTCATGTTGAAATGAATGTAGCATTCTTTCAAATGTTGAAACTTAAGTTGGTTTGTACCTGCCGCTGATGGCCTAGTGTTTTCTTCAAAGTTGAGTAAACTAATATATGTAAGTTTGAAAGGGCCTCTGTGCCAATATGCTTGTTTGTAATATTGGGCCGCATTATTTCCAAACACTTTCCAATCTACTCATGTTTGGATATGTTTAGATTCACTTTTCTGTTATGGTTTCCTCTGCATTTATCTTACTGTTCAAAAGCAGTAAAAGAGGACGTAAAACTTATTTTCATCAACTATCCAGATTGTGTTATTTGCAAACAATTCATTGTCCTTTTTTCTTCATATTACCAAATCTTAAAAAAAAAAAAAGTTAGTAACTAGTAACTTCAAGTTAGAAAATCTGAACTTATATTTTAAAAATATTCTTTATTCAAATTAAAAACAGGGAAAAGAGATGTCAAACTGAATCATTTTGATGCAAATAACATGCAATTGTAATGTGCCCAACTCAGTTCCCATGCTTTCTACCTGAATTCTTTAATGAGGATTGAAATCAACCTGTGATGTTTAATTATGAATGTGATGACAGTAATTACTTAACAATTTACTGGCTAAGTAAGGCCAATGGGAATTTGCAACTCAGTTGTTATGCCATCAACAATCAACAACAGCTAGGAACTAAAAAATGTGAGATCCCTTTAGCTTTTAATAAACGTGTTACTTTCTTTCTACATAAGTAACTTACCAAACACTTTTTTTTTTTTTTTTTTTTTTTTTTTTTTTGTGTTTTTTTTTTTTTTTTTTTGGGATGGAGTCTTGCTCTGTTGCTAGGCTAGAGTGCAGTGGCAGGATCTTGGCTCACTGCAATCTCAGCCTCCCGGGTTCAAGCGATTCTCCTGCCTCAACTTGCCAAGTAGCTAGGATTACAGGTGTGTGTCACTATACCCAGCTAATTTTTGTATTTTTAGTAGAAGCAGGGTTTCACCATGTTGGCCAGGATGGTTTCCATCTCCTGACCTCGTGATCTGGCTGTCTTGGCCTCCCGAAGTACTGGGATTACAGGTGTGAGCCACTGCACCTGGCCATACTTTTTTTTAACACAATCTTTTTGAGTTAGCATTATGAAATTTGAAACAGCCATCATTGGAGCAAGGATGCATAGAGTATGGAGTTACCCTGAGAAGAAATTGTTCCTCAATAATGCAACCCTTGAAGTTATTTTTTATGTGTGCTTAGAAATGAAATAATAGAACAAGTTAAGTGAATTTTTTTTTTCTAGAGCATCTTATAAGGTTGGCATTAAGAGACAATCTCAATCCCCTACTCACCTCTCTTTTGAATTAAATTCTTAGTTATATTGTAACTTTTAAACTTTTTACCTTTTAGGCAGGGTTTCCTCCTGGAGTTGTGAATATTGTTCCGGGTTATGGGCCTACAGCAGGGGCAGCCATTTCTTCTCACATGGATATAGACAAAGTTGCCTTCACAGGATCAACAGAGGTAATATTATTTACTCAGTGCAAAAGTTAAGAGTGTCTGCATTGCCAGCTATGAAGCATGTTTTATGTAACTATTTTTGAGCCAACAATTTTAAAACAAAAACTCTTTTTAATGATTTGTACTTTATTTTAGTCTTCAAATGTGTGCATAGAATACAAGCAGATGTAGTTTGAATGACATGATATACCTATTTAAAACTCAGAATGAGAGTAAACTATTTTTAGTATGTTCATTACTTTCTCTGATGAGAAATATGGCCGCTGAGACCTGGTCATGTGATTAAGAAGATAGAGAAAAGAAAATTAGGCCATGGTGATTTATATGAATGAATATTATTTTATCCTGTAGATTATGAAAATTAAACAGTAGAGCCTCACCCTTTGTACCTTATTTGGAGGTATCTTTCTTCTGGACATTCTGAAAGAGAGCCAGAAACTCCACTTCCCTCAGTGGTACTTTAACCTAGACTAACTTTTACACCTCTCTGGCTCAAACTTGACCATCCTAAAGGTTAAAAAGACCCCAACCAAAAAGAAGTGGCAGGCAGGAGGGAGAGCATACTAGAAGGTGAAGTTTGGGAAAATAGATCCCCATTTGTTGATGATGTTCTATCCTAAGCAAAAGAACGTGGTGGAAGAATACTGTACCATCCAAAAAAAATTATTGAGTCATTCTTTTAGATTATGTGACCTTATTAGATGCTCAGTGCAAAAAACAGTGTATGTTATTCATTGATACAGAGTATAGAAAGTGAGAGTGAGCTTCATTCCATCTTAGAAAGCTGCTGACACGAGAAAAGACAGGGTGCAATAAGGTACTAAGGTATGTACAAAGCGCTGTAAGAAGGTCCACAGGAAGGAATAATGATGTCCAAATGGGTGCTAGAACTTGCTCTAGGTTTTAGGAATTGTTACTTTTTTAACTTCCTGGAGGTTGAGAACCAAAAAGGCATCCCAGATAGTGTGGTGAGCATAATTTGATTATTTTGTAATCCTAATATTTACTCCAATATAAAGACAAATTTACATAGCAAACAGAAATGGTGGAAAATCAAACCTTATTTTTCTGGATCTTTTTAAAATGAGGTATATATATTTTAAATGATATATATATATCATTTTAAAAAAGAAACATGTATATATATAGAGAGAGAGAATCCCTAATTGAGATAGGGAAAGTGAACCCCACATTTGGGGTTTATTGTAGACAAAACAAATGGGAATGTTCAAGACATGGTAATACATTTTAAAATGGTGACACCACAGGTTGAAATCATACCAGAGGAATAAAAGTAAAAATTCCTCAGCCTAGAATTCTAGAACCTCCCCAATAGGGACTTCATGTACCTATCGGGGTCTAGATCAAGCCTGTCCAACCCACAGTGAGGGACGGCTTTGAATGTGGCCCAACACAATTTATTTTCTTGCTCATCAGCTGTCTTTACTGTTAGTGCATTTTATGTGTAGCCCAAGACAATACTTCTTCCAGCGTGGCCAAGGGAAGCCAAAAGATTGGAGAACTCTTATCTAGATCCTATGCCTACTCCTTCTCCAGGTCGTATGGACCAGGGGCTACTATTTCCTGATCTCATCTTTAGCATCGGTTTCTCTTTGCTCATCCATGATCCCCTGTAACATTGGGGAGCACTTTACCTACCTTAGAAAAAACCCTGGAGATTAAAAGTCTAGAAAACATCTTGGTTTAAATTGACTCTACCTGTCTTAGCAGTGTGTCTTTAAAAAGTTAAGTAGCCTTGCTAAATTTGAGTTTCTTCATTTATAAAATGGAGACGAAATCAACCTTACTGAGTTGTACAGAATAAAAGTAAATGAGGTAATGAGTATAAAACATTTAGCACCCTACTGAGCACTCAGGACATGCCATGGTGATTATATATGTATTCATGTCTATATTTCCTCTTTCCTCCCATACTTTTTAATTTCTCACACTAGTTTACACAGTGTGAGAAAAAAGCTTCCTGTCCCAGTATTTCTTTTTCTCCATCTCTGCCACTCTTCCCCATCTCTTCCTGATTATTCCATGTATATTTTCATTCCCCCATGCTTTTAGTTCATACTTGGCCAAAACCTACTCTAAACTGCCTCCCACATGTTCCCTCTCTGGCTCTTCTTGCCTCTACAGTCCCAGGAGCAGGGCAGCCTAAATTTTAAAACACCCCATATGAACTCCCATTGTCGACCACGTATGATAATAACAGCACATTGCCTGTTGCCTTGTTATGTGTTTCTCTCTCTCTTGCTGGTTATCCTCAAAGACGGTCTTATTCATTGTTACTTCCAGAAGCCAGCACAGTAAGAAATTCTAAATAAGTGTTAAAGAATTAAATGTGAATAACATGATATTAGGAGCCACACAGAAAATCCCATCTTACTTGCAACTCCTGGAACTTAGTTCCGTACTCCCTGGAACGTCTTTCTGGATTTTCTCTTAGCTTCACATTTGTTGCTTGGCAGGTACTAAGGAACTTGATAAATGTCATGAAAGAGGCAAACAATAGACTGTATCCTTTGTGTTCATTGTAGCAATGACCCCCATTCTAACAACACTTTTGGCAAGGTAAGAATTTAAATGTCCCATGAGATTCATATAAATAGAAATCTACCCACATTGTGCAAGACAAAATAAGTTAGACCATTTTCATGAGCATTTGTTACTTCTGCTCCACATGTCAGTGCCACAGTATCATGGAATACACTGTTTACCCATAGTCTTAATAGATCTTATCTTTTCTTCGTTGTATATTCATTTGAGAAAAATGATAAATGTTTACTTTTCTCCAAGTAAGGGAATTAAATGATGAGACAAAAATTAATGTCTCCTTGTTTTGACTTTAGCTAGACTTTTGGGAAAACTCAAGCCTTTTATTTGCCATCTAAACTTGTGCTAAGGAAAAGTGTAGCCTTTCTTTCTCATTAATACTTCTAACCATTCTTCATGCTAGTTCTTTTGATGTCTATAGCTTTTACAAAAATATCTCTGATTTTATTCCCTTCTCCAAGACAAAAGTTATCTACTTTAATGAAGTTTCTCAACTAAACCTAAAACAAATTTAAAAAAAAAAGATACAGAAAGAATTTGGAGAAATCAAAGGGTGACAGGCAAGTAAGTTTTTTTATCTTCAGAATTAAAAACTCTTTAACACCTTAAATGGAAATTCAGTTAAATGGAAAGTGGTCATAAGAAGTGTGTCGTGGAATGGCATGTAAGAGAAATTTCAGACAGGATTTCCCCAGAGCAAATCTCCTTTTAGTTTATTTTTTTTTATTAATCAACTTCTGGGAGTTTGATTTAGAAACATAACATACTTCAATAAGATGAAAACATTAGCATATTAATGCCCTATTCTGTAATGCACAGTAGCAGTTAGTTCAGTAACCACATAAAATTTAAATATATACTCACTAAGCATCTATTTCTCTCTTGTTCAGTTGAGATAGAAACTTTTTATTAAAATCTGACATGTGGAGTAAAAAAAGAAACCTAGAGAATAAAAGAAGCAAAATAGTGAATTTTGCTTTTCTTTTTTAAAGAAAAGCAAAGAACATGCTGGTGGATTGTATTATTTGCCATACAAATAGTAAAAAAAGAAATAATTGTAAAACCAGCCAAGTTTTTAGAGATAGGAAAACCAGAAACAACTATAGAAAATAATCTTGATGGGAAGTGATCCACAAAGGAAAAAAAAAAAAAAATTGAAAGCCAAGTCTTTGTCTGAAAAGAGGAAACTAGCACTAAAGAAGAAACCAGGACGGTAGGATTCCAGCCAGCTGAAATAGCTGCACGGATCCCATTTCTTTCTTCCAGTTCCACTGTTCAAAGGTATGTGTGTTGGGAGGGAACAGAGACAAAGAATGAGATAGAGAGACTGTCAATCAATCTGCAATTAAATGAGCCTTCTGTCATAGACACTAACGTGGAGAGGTATGCAGTGATAGGTTGTTGTTACTGCTACCACAGAGCTAACAATCTATTTAGGAAATTTATTCCTATACAAATAATATAATTTGAATCAGACTCTGAAGGCTCTTTCATGAGGTTCTTTGGGAGACTAGGAAAAGAAATAGTCCTGTTATTTCTTCTAGCATCTGACCTAGTGTCATTAGAGAAGGATTTAAGGAGAGGCTAAGAGATGAGCTAGACCCCTAAGAAAAATAGAACTTGAAGGCAGTCCAAGTTGGGGTGGACAAATAATGAGAAGAAGGATGAGACTCGAGAGATAGTGAATATGTCAGTTTGACTGGAGAGAGTTATCTGGATGTCAGAAGAGGGATTAAAAAATGAAATAACTAAGTTGCAATTGGGTCATGATATGTCTGATCAATCTGTAGAGAGATGAAATTGATTAAAATTAAAAACAGCCTTCTGTGTAGCCATCAAGATCAGTTATCATGTTCTATAACTCTGCTTCCTTGCTGATGAGGAAAAATCAGCATCTTTCTGATTTCTTTTATGTCTGTATACTTGGATGAGGGAGCCTTTTACATCTAAAGGTGCCAAATCTTGAAAAACACCATTTGCGGGAGAATCGCTTGAACCTGGGAGGCAGAGGTTACAGTGAGCTGAGATCGCACCACCGCACTCCAGCCTGGGCCACAGTACGAGACTCCATCTCAAAAAAAAAAAAAATGCCTTTGGTGTTTCTCCCAAATGAAATTTAACTGTGGCAAAAACATCACACAAATTTAGAATGCTAAATAAACCAGTGTTCATGACAGCAAGGTAAGCCTCCTCCTTTGTAATGTACCCTTTCAGGTTGGCAAGATTATCAAAGAAGCTGCCGGGAAAAGCAATCTGAAGAGGGTGACCCTGGAGCTAGGAGGAAAGAGCCCTTGCATTGTATTGGCTGATGCTGACTGTGAGTAGAAGCCACTTTGTTAACTTTTCATCCATCATTTCTGGTGTCGGATAATGCCAAAAGTGAACTTGAACTTCACACACACAAAAAAAGCATTTGCTTCTAACATCAAAGTGTAAGGAATTAGAAACCAGAATTACTCTTGAAAATCTCTTAGATCATCCTTAAGTAATAACACGTAGGTAATAGACACAATTTCCTCCTGGTTTAGCATAGATTGCTATTTCCTCAGCTGAACCCTAGGTGATGTCAACATTTTGCATTTAAGGGCTATGGTGTATTTAAAATTTCATACCTGTGATTGTTAGCATCTCATTGAGCTAAGGAGATACGCCAGAATGGGACTTAGATTGAGAACAACTGAGGAGACGGCAGTTTCACATTTGCCCTCTCCCTTCAGTCTGGGTCATATACTCATTGAATGAAATGACCAGAAGTAAATTATACCTACTATTTAAGTATTTTTTCCTAGCAAGTAGAGTTGAGCTTATGCATATTAAACCTTACAAATATGATGTAACTCTGCTATATAATATTTTAGGTTCATTCTGATAATATTACCAAGTATTATCTCCTAATTATTTTCTAAGTAGAAGTCAATTCACAGAAATAGATGGTCAAACATTCTTCTGTTTCTTTCACAACTGCATTATCTGTTTGAGGCTGTAAATACAAATGTTTCATGGAATTAGCCTATGTTGCTGTTTTGATCTTAATTGAAATATTTTAGAACACTCTAACTTGTGAAATATTCTATAAAAATGACAAATTTCCAATTTTACCACGGCTGTATATAAACTGCTTCTGCTACAACTTAAGCAGATGTAATTAGTTCACAAAATAAATACCCAGTTGCTATAACATTGAATTGAATCTTTAGCATTTAGAAAATTAAAGTGCAAAGAAAATTTTATTCTTGTTTAGCGTATACTAATGAAGCAACCTATTTCTTCCTTTTAATGCACCTTTTATCACCTAAAATAAATAAGTTTATAGGTGCATATGAAATAAGATGATATACTTTAGATAGATTTTGAAAATGTCTTTGCTAGAATAAAATCATAGGGTGAGTGATTCTGAGTATTGGTGTTTTTTGTTGCTTTTTAGTTATTTTTGTTTTATTTTGTTTTTCTTTCCCACAAAGATCACATTTTCTATTGAGTAGAGTATTTAAGAATCTTTTGAAATTATTTAATTCAATAGACATGTCAGTTTTCTCTTCTTATTATCTGTTTAAAACCTGGGGCCTGAAAGAAATAATCACAGTCATCTAATTATATAATTGGAAATATTTACATGAATCATTTGCAATGAGATCTGATCTCATGATCAAATCTACATTCTTGGTGATGTCCATATTAAAGTTGTAATAGTAACCACTGTTTTTTCAGATTCTGTATGTTGCTATTTTTTCCATAAATGGAGTATCAGAAAGATTAATTTGCCACCTGACTGGTTGGAGATGAACTATATTGAGCCCACCTATGTCTGACTATACAACTTATAATTTGCCATGTTGCCTCTGAGAAACATATAAAATATATAATTTTTAGAAAATATTTTTAGAAACTTTTTAGAAAAAGAATTCTTAGAAAATTCTTTATTGTGAATGTCTTCTTTGCAGTGGACAATGCTGTTGAATTTGCACACCATGGGGTATTTTACCACCAGGGCCAGTGTTGTATAGCTGCATCCAGGCTTTTTGTGGAAGAATCCATTTATGATGAGTTTGTTCGAAGGAGTGTTGAGCGGGCTAAGAAGTATGTTCTTGGAAATCCTCTGACCCCAGGAGTGACTCAAGGCCCTCAGGTAAGCATAAAATAGAAAGGAGAGCATTTTCAGGTGACAGGAATAAAGTATCCTCTTTGGGCCTAGATTTTATTAAGATTACTTCCTATTTGCACATCTTCCTAGGTAACAATGCTGTGCCACTTTGAAAAACAATCTCACTCCCGATGATCATGAAACTATCCTGTTTTTGCGTTGCCCAGTTTTCATGCCTAGAAACAGTTTAACAACAGTTTAACTCTCCATGCTGAGAGTTAAGGGCATGAGGAAAAATAACAAATGTTCTTGCTCTCCTCACTCTGCACACCTCTTGATTCCTATATACAGTTCTCTGTTCACTTTGAAGTTCTTACACCTTCCTGTCATTTCTTCCTCAATTCTTCATCTCCGTTGCCATCCCACAGTTATAAGCAGCTCACCCCTAAATCCTCTGCAAGTCATCAGTTACTCTGACCCCCTAATGGCAGCATGAGTGTCCTAAAAGGTCCTGAGTTTCCTTTGTGGTAAACTTTTTATTTCAGTGTTAAAGCCCAATTATTCCCCTAGGGCACTCAGTTTTCATTGTAGACTTTATCAACAAATCAATAATTATCACTCTCTCTTATCCAAAGATCATCTTTCCCTCTTCCTTGCATAGTTCTCTGTTCATTGTTTAAGCTTCTGGATCTTTGGCTGTGAATTTCTTCCTGCCCTTTGGGGTCTTGTTCTAGAGTAGTGATTCTCATCTAGGGGCAATTTTGCTCCCTTCACCCAGGGGATATTTGGCAATGTCAAAGGACATTTTAAGTTGTGAGAATGGGTGGCTCTACAGGCATCTAGTGAGTAGAGGCCAGAGATGCTGCTAAACATCCTGCAAAGTACAGGACAGCCCCATGACAAAGAATATCAGACCCAAAATGCCAACAGGGCTACTGCCGAGAAATCCTGCTCTGGAGTCTAGGCATTAAATGTAGAGCCTCTATTCTTTTACACTAACGGTTATACGCTGTTATGTGCTATTGATTTGAAACCCAACACTATTCTTGACTCATTCACTAAGCCAAAAGTAAATCCAAATAACTAAAAGTTAGTGAACACTGCTATCAGCTAAAACTTGAGCTGGGTACCTGGTAATGCCAAAAAGAACAAGGAGGACTTGATCCCACACCCAGGGAGTTTACAGTCTAAGTTAAGTTGAACAGTCTTGGATTTTCCTGTTCATCTCAAGACATCCAAGTAGACAAATCTTAGGACTTACGCAGTGCCACATATCGAAATCTAAAATCCCTAAAATAACTGACTAGTGAAGTAATACTTTGTTTTATCTTAATCCCATTATGTTTTGTATTTGTCTTTGAGTTTAATGAGTACATAAAAGTAGTTGCCTTTTTTTCATATTTGGTATATGGATGCCAAGAGATATATTCAAATCAATTTTGACTTGGTCTCCCATTTCAAAAAGGATGGAATTCTAAGTTTTTTTCTGTGATTATTTCTCTCTCTAAACATCTATTTATCTAACTAAAAGTTATCTAACTTTTCTTATTTTATTGATGGATTGATAGATGAATGATAGATAGACCTGAAGAAAAAAGAGAATACTTAAGATACCTAATGCCTAATTGTTGGGCAGTAATTTCCTCCATTAGGACATCTTCACAATTCAACCAAAGACTCAAAAATTGAGCTGGAAGACCTCACTCTGTAGAAAGATGGACTTTTGAGTTACAGGCTGGATTTAAAATCTAACCTCCCTGAAACTATTGTCTTATGTGTAAAATGGGCATAGAAATCTCAGTTTTGAAGAATAATTCTGCAGTGCAATTGGATAATCTATAAAATGCATCCATCAAAGTGCTTGGTCCACATGCTCAAATATCTAGTAAAATTACATGCTTCCATTTATACCTGTGGTGATAATTATCATACAGATCAATGACTTCTATATCTACTCATTGCTTTTGTTGATACATGGTTTCTGAATAATTTGAGAATATGTAAGTGCTTTTTCACAATTCATCTTCTTTAACACATTAAGCCTAAGGAATCAAAGAATTTACCCAGTCAAACACATTAAAATGTCTCCTTTGAGACTGTTGCAATACCATGACCTACCTATTTTATTTCATAGACAAGCCCACAGGCCAATGGCTCATCATATGAAAGAGCCCCAGGTACATCCTAGCATTATTGAACAGTCCCTGGTGTCCAGAAAGAAGGTCAAGTTTATATACGGTCAATCAGATGGTTTCTGAAGCAGGACTGTATTTACGGTGAATCAAAATTAGCCAGACCAAACTGACCAGTCACTAAGTAGAGCTTAATTTTTTGTTGGTAGTCCCAAGCTCCACCACAGTGTTCCTCAGTCTTTCCTGTGCCTGGGGATTCAGTAGAACTGAGGTGGGGCCAGAGAAGTATATTTGGCTACTAAGTTATGCCATAGCTGCTGGCTGTAGGACCACACTGTCAGTAGTGAGGCACCGAAATACAAAGGCCTGTGGTTTTATAAGTTAGTGGCCATCTAAGTTTTCCAACAAATAAGTCTTTTCAGTCCTTTTCTCCAGTATGTATGCAGAGACTGGATTGGCATTGGGTATTCACTGTGGTCACAGATAGGGAAACATGATGACTTGGGAAATATATCTTTAAATAAAAACCAAATATCATGATGTTGAGGGCCTAGTCAAATTAGTATGTTCCAATAAGACAGAAAGCTTTATGTGGAGGTACATGGACTCTTGACTGTTTATTGAGAAACTAGAATACCTTCCCCAGGAAGAATTTATCTAACCCCACCCCTTAGTCTGCTACAATTCAACCTATGTAGTAATTTAAATATTTCTTCTTAACACTACAATTTCCTTAATCTGCTGGAAATGAAGGAATGTTTTTCTTGTGGGATAATACAGTAAATATTACACTGAAGGCAATTGAGCAACATTGTACCAAATATTGTGCCAAATTTTAAAAAATAGTTTCTAGTTTCAAATAGTGCTTAATCTAGTTAGATATGAGGGGTAGGCTGTATCCAGTTAGAAATAACTTTGTGGAAGCTTTTTCTTGGCTTTGGAAGAGAGAGAAGATTTGCAGAGTCAGAGAAGAGTAAGAGAAAGTGAAACACAAAACGTTTCATGTAGTGAGAAGTTAAACCTGCAAGAGCTTCCACCCTCCATCCCATCTTAGCTTTTAGATCTCCTGTTTTTCCCCTAATCCCTAACCCCTGCTACACCTGAAACAGGCAGCCCTCACCAATGACTTGGAATCCAAGAGTCACCCAGTCATTTAATGTCGCAAAACAGAAATGGAGACAAAACTTACTCCCCCATTTCAGTGCTTGAAGGAGAGGTATGTGTTTTTGGTGTTCACAACTAGAACTCTAAACTCATTTATTTTCCTTATAAAAGTAGTGTTTAAATAAAGACCATTTAAGTTCTATAATACTTGGCATATATTTAGATGTGGCTCATTTAATGAAGCAGGATGGTGACATTGAGGACAGGCCAGAAATTGGAAGCAAACCTACTGACTACCCCAATGGGACTGGAACTGGGAAGGATGCCCAGACTATGGTCCCAGGGCATTGGACAGGTCAGAGGGGGTGGTTCAGAAATGGGGAGATCAAACAGAGGCTCAGGAGTCTTCTAAGAAAAGTCTTAAAGCATCTGCTTCCCAACAGATCTAATTAAACCCAGTACCAAAGTTCTTTTTTTCTCCTTTCCCTCCTTTCATTTCAGCAAGGACAATAGTTTCCAGGTAAATGTATTTAGATTAACAGACATTTCTTCCAGAGTGAATAAATGACAGTTATGTAAAAGGTTTTTACGTGTTTGCAGTGCTGAATGCTTTTCCTATATAACTATAAAACAAATATTTAAATACAAATATCTATCTTCAAGTGATTTTTTTCCTAAAAAGTTATGAGAACAAACATATCCAAATAATGAATCTGAGCCTTTGTTAGCTATTTTGATTCAATGTTTTGTTTAATTGCAATATTTTAGCATTTTGAAGCCCTTGTTAACAGGCCCTGAAATGTGTTATCTTTACAAGTGACTACATTTTTTTCTTTTCATGTGATACTTTTCAAATAGATTGACAAGGAACAATATGACAAAATACTTGACCTCATTGAGAGTGGGAAGAAAGAAGGGGCCAAACTGGAATGTGGAGGAGGCCCGTGGGGGAATAAAGGCTACTTTGTCCAGCCCACGGTGTTCTCTAATGTTACGGATGAGATGCGCATTGCCAAAGAGGAGGTAAATGGTTTCATTCTGTTCTGTTCTTTTTGTTGCCATGGTTTGTCTGTATGTGCGTATACAAGTGTCCCTTTAAAATTCCCAGCTCTTTCCAACATCTTTCTCTGTAAATTTACTGTTGCTTTCTGTTATTGATAGAGGTTTAAGTTATTTGTGATGGAGACTAAAAAATAGGGATCCATGGGGCCAGCCACAAATGTCCAGCCACATGATCTGAGGCTTAATAATTCTTAGGTGCTGCCATCACAGCTTTAAAGGAAATGAAAAGAATCCTGTCATTTGCAGCAACAACCTGAAAAATGTTATATTCCATGAAATATGACAGGCACAAAAAGACAAATACTGCATGATCTCACTTACATGTGGGATCTCAAAGACTAGAACTCACAGAAGCAGAGATTGGAATGGTGGTTACCAAAGGCTTGGGGCAGTCGAGGATGAGGGTTGGGAAATGTTGGTCAAAGGAATCAAAATTTAAATTAGGAGGAATAAGTTCAAGAGATCTATTGTAAATATCCTGACTGTAGTTAATAACAATGTGTTGTATACTTGAATATTGCTAAGAGAGTCAATTTTAAGTGTTCTCACCACAAGAGGTAAATATGTAGGTTCTACTTTCTGATTCCATGTTTGCCCTAGGCCTTTTTCTACATAACAGCCATCCACATATTTGAAAACAGCATTCATCCGCTCCATCACTTCCACCTTCTATGTGCTCTTGGTCCTATTTATTTCAGCTGTTTGACATTCTAATTTTGTATATTGTAGTTAAATGTTTGGTGAGCGTATATGTGTGTGTGTGTATATATAATGTATATCTACATTATAAATATTCTCACCAAGTATTTAACTACAGTATTCAAAATTAGAAAAAAAAATTGAGCTGTCACTCTTAAATTTTCAATTATAGGAACACAATACATTTTTTTAATATATTAATATATAGAAGAACAGCTAGCTTGCTACTTCAGAGTAGGAGCCTGGAGCTATGTGCTGGGTTCAGTTAAAATTGTGTAAAATACGAACCCATTTATTAGAGTAGCTGCTGTGTATCTGGGTCCCAGCTTCAAATATGATTAGATTTATAACATTAAGATTTGCACTCAACCTCTATCGAACAGTAGCCCCTCCCTTCTAACATTTAAATCAGTGGTGAACACCAGAAAACCATTTGTCATTTCTGATTTTTGTCTCCCTTCATTCACATTTCCCAGAAAATTCTGGTAATTTCAGAGGAGTCTTTATTTGATCTTAATAAACATTTTATTGAGCCATTACCAATGAACTCATACTTTAATTAAAATAGGATGGCTTAGAATGTATAAACTCTTGCAGTAATGAATGATTCTGTTTGATATATTTAAGTTGCCTAAGATTTTGCTACAGAGTAGAACAAAAGGTCATGATGTCTTATCTAACTTGGCTAATTATGGAAAGATCTGAGTACAGTAGAATAGTTAATATTTTACCAATGGCATACAAGTATTTAAAACATTATTATTATATCAATCATTGCCTATTCGTTTATCCAGTAGATTATCATTACCTATTTATTTATCCAGTAGTTTGCTTTCTGGGGCTTATCATTATATTTAATGACCTGGAAGATAAGAAAAACTAGAGAGTAAATTTAAAATATTCCCAAATGAAAAAGAAATTCTGAAGTTAATGATTTGTTGCACAATCAAAAGTTCTCAAACGCTTAATTCCAACATCTAGAAAATTAATATTGCCTTAATTATTTGTACCCTATCTTCTTCCAAAGAGAATTTAACACTTGACCATGTTTTTACCCACCATTTCTGCAGTTACCTATTTGGATTCTCACATAAAGATTTGAGATGAGAAGCAAAATCTTAATCAATTTAGGGTAGTATATAGGAAAAAAATCTACAGTATCATTTAAAATATTTTGTTTTAACCTGTTATTTTTACTTATTTATTTCTGTGGTATAGATATTTGGACCAGTGCAGCAAATCATGAAGTTTAAATCTTTGGATGACGTGATCAAAAGAGCAAACAATACTTTCTATGGCTTATCAGCTGGAATCTTTACCAAAGACATTGATAAAGCCATAACAATCTCCTCTGCTCTGCAGGCAGGAACAGTGTGGTAAGTCCAATCTAAGTAATACAGCCTTTTCAGTAATAACGACATTGACAGATTACCTTGAACCTTTTTGGACTGGATTTTTCATTTGGAATTGCCTATCCTGTTAGAAAAGCAGTTGCTGCCTTGAAAAACAAACAAAAGGTCAGGTGTGGGGGCTCACACCTGTAATTCCAGCACTTTAGGAGGCTGAGGTGGGTGGTTCACCTGACCTCCAGAGTTTGAGACCAGCCTGGCCAACACAGTGAAACCTCATCCCTACTTAAAATACAAAAATTAGCTGGGTGTGGTGGCAGACGCCTGTGATTCCAGTTACTGGAGAGGCTGATGCAGAAGAATCACTTGAGCCCCGAGGCAGAGGTTACAGTGAGCCTAGATCACACCATTGTACTTTAGCCTGGGCAACAAGAGTGAAACTCTGTCTTTTAAAAAAAAAAAAAAAAAAAAAAAAAGACAAACAAAAAAAGCTACTACATTGGAAGAACTTTGGAAGGATATTTTCTTTAACTTTATTTAGACTCTTGAAAGATTATTAGACTCTTGAAGGATTATTAGAGAACATTGAAGTTACTTAAAAATATATTGAGTTTTGAAGATCCCCTCTCTCTCGTTTTTGACCTAGTTTACATCTCTTATTTTTATACTTTGAGAGGATATAAACATTAAGTCTGTGTCTCTCAAACTTGCATTCTATACACAACCATCATCTCTAGACTATGTCTTGGTTCACTTTGGTCCCATTAGCCTCATTTTAGTCCCTCAGTCCTGGCAACTGCCCAAGATTATTTTCCTTCCCACCACTAAGCCACATCTAGATCAGTTCTATACAGTATTCTTTTTTGGGTTGTTTGTTTTTGAGATGGAGTCTCACTCTGTCGCCCAGGCTGGAGTGCAATGCTGTGATCTTGGGTCACTGCAACCTCTACCTCTTGGGTTCAAGTGATTATCCTGCCTCAGCCTCCCAAGTAGCTGGGACTACAGGGCATGCACCACCAAGCTCAGCTAATCTTTTTTTGTTTGTTTGTTTCAGTAGAGACGGTGTTTCACCATGTTAGTCCGGCTGGTCTCGAACTCCTGACCTCAAATGATCTGCCTGCCTTGGCATCCCAAAGTGCTGGGATTACAGGCATAAGCCACCATGCCAGCCTGGACCTATACAATATTCTAAAGCAGTGGTTGTCCACTCTGGCTGTCCATTAGAATCATCTCGGGGGCTTTAAAATTGTATAAACTGATTTGGGGCAGGCACATGCCTGCCTACTCAGGAGGCTGAGGCAGGAGAATCACCTGAACCCAGGGGACAGAGGTTGCAGTGATCTGAGATCGTGCCACTGCACTCCAGCCTGGGTGATAGAGCAAGACTCTGTCTCAAAAAAAAAAAAAAAATTTTTTTTCTCTTGTGTGTAATGAGAATCATGTAAGTAATTAGATTTTGCTAACTTTGGCCACTAGGAAATTTAAAGCTAAACAGATTGTTGATGATCTGCAAAGCTGCATTCTAATTTTCCCCATCTTGATCTTCTATTGTAATTTTTTATACTATTCTAATTACTCCCATTCATGTAATTATATTTGTTTGTATAAGAATCTTTAAACACTTTATTAAATATGACAGGGAATAAATAATTAAAACTAACTCCTGCCAAGGCCTCTGTTTAGGCAATTTATTTAACCAATTAATGGGAAAAAATTAACTGAGTAATATAATATTACAAAATTGATTCTAGCCTGTTAAGTATAGAAACATGAAGAGAATTATAAGCTGATCCCTATACAGGCAGTTATGAATACCCATCCCACAAATTCTAGCCTCTAGCAAATCATATCCTTCCTCCTACAGCATAGTGACTATTCTATCTTTAACAGATTCAAACTACCGCTTCTCAGGGACTCCATGTACTACCAAAATGGCTATCCACATATGTAATTGTGCTGTTCTATTTGTTTCTAGGTAGTGTGTAGCCATATATGTCTGCATTCTAATTTATAGTGCTGCTTTTTTTTAATCACAATAAGTATGTTATATTAAAATTAATGGAGTTTGTAAGGAGCTTTTTAAATTTCTAAAGTTGCCAAAAAGGAGGGTCTTTTTTCACACATTAAGTATTGTCCATAATGCACTTCTTTTTGTTTTCAGGGTGAATTGCTATGGTGTGGTATCTGCCCAGTGCCCCTTTGGTGGATTCAAGATGTCTGGAAATGGACGAGAACTGTAAGATTAATGTTCTATTCAGATAAATATTTATTTTAATGAAAATGATTTTTATTCCCAGGGAATTAACTCATAGTTTAAATAAAACCTACCTTAGTTATTTCCTGGAGATTCATAGCACCAACTAGCTTATTAAATGTTGGATGTACTCCATAAGAGCAAAAGGTGATTGCAGAAGGGCAGCATAATTTACTAAGTTCCCACTATATATTAGGGACTAAATTAAGCAATTTACATTGGTGATTGCAATATTGCTTGCTTTTAGAATTGCTCGCTCATTATATGAATGTAATAATCCATTTGGGAAACATTTCCAGAAAACAGGTAGAAACTATGAATTGGTGATTATAAGAAAGGCACAAATATAAACACTCTAGTTATTTGAATAAACCTTTTAAATAAGCAAATTAGGTCACTTATGTAAAGGAAATTTCAGGGTAAGAGGAATGATTCCCACTTGTTGAGATATTATTAATGTAGACTTTAAATTTTTTACTTGCCATAATGAGTTATTTTTAGTATTAAAATTTAAACCTAAAAGGAAATTTGACTGAGAAAAAGGTGTTTTATAGTAGTGACCAGATTGAGAATATTTATATATAAATGCATTTATGAAATTTCAATTGCTTTTGAAACCAGATATATAGACTTTTTAAGTGTGTACATATATATGTAAACACAGAAAGTAGTGGCAATATGCTTAGTTGATTTCATTTAAACAATTTTAGTCATTTTATTTCTTAAAACATTTTTATATTATTAATAAATGTAAACATTTATGAAGAAAAAAGAAATACAAACCTTATAGTAGCAAAGATAGTAAACTTCCTCATTTTGTAATTAGCAAGTGAAAATGAGTCTTTCTCAATTTCTGAATGCATTAAATAGTTGTGTACTGTATTCTAATGAATCAGCAAAATTACAAGGAAACAAATATCTTTGGGGAGTCAGTGGAATGGGAGAATTATAAAATGACCAGTCTACTTTCTTAATATGCATTCAGTAAGCAGTTACTATGTGTAAGGTCCTAGGAACCCCAGAGACATGACACTATGTTCCATCCTCTACATAACTGTGGTGGCAGGAGAAATATGTAAAAAGACATGCAAAATAACCTACATACACTATGATATAAGTAGCAGTAAAGTGGGACTCCATTTCCCATGGAGGTAGAGAAGCAATTAAGTACAGAGCAAAGTATTGGAGAAAATCTAGACAGTACCAGAGTATAAGAGTCAGGATGGCATCTCTCTAGCGGAAGAAGCAAATACATCTTTTAAGCTCTATTCCATGCTTAAGATTTGATTTTATGATTCTGACCCCAGTGGAAATCCAGTGGTTAAAAACTTAATCACAGTTGATAGAGAAGAAAACTTCTAAGAGAAGAAAAGAAACTTCATCTAGGGCAGAAAGCAAGTGTAAGATGTCAATTAGTGGAGAAGAGGGCTTTCTTGAATGGAACATTACATGTGGTATGTTGAGGGGCTAGTGAATTCGTTTGATTGGCGTGGACTTATGGGGGTGAAAAATAGGACTTCAGAGTTACATACGATACAGATTAAGAAGTCCTGCATTTAAGAAAACTGACTTAGATTTTATTAGTGGAGTAGTGAAAAGCCATGTATCATATGTTTAGAACACTGTTGAGATAGAACAAAAGATTCGCCCACCAAAACTGCATGGCATAGCTGAGAAAACAACTGGAGTCTGGCCAGCTGAATTTGTTTGATTCCTGCTTCTGCCACTTGTTTGCCATGCACCCCAGTTCAAGCTATCTAACTTCCTAGCCTCTATTTTCTCATAGTTCATGGAGATGTTCACATTCCACTTAAGATGGAATGAGAGTTCTTGTGAGAGTTAAATGACATACTGAATGTTAAATCCCTAGCCACATAGCTGTCACATAGTGTAAATTCAACAAATGATTTCTTCCTTCCCTAGTTTCTTCTCTTTCTGGAGAATCTCTTGGCCAAGCTAATGACTTTGTACAAAAAGTCAGAACAAAGGTTACTTTACTCTGAAGAGCAGTTGGCTCATTGCCGGCCTGGTTATCTAACAACACATTTCACTGAGGACATTAAAGATAAAATAATCAAAAGGAGTGCCAAACTAAAGTACACCAAACATGCCAATTTCGTTGAACATAATTTGTTCAGACTTTAAGGTGAAGGCATAAAGAAAACAAGAGGAGGACTGAAAACAGGAATCAACCATCAGTAGTTATCTAAAAACCTAGAACATGGATATAGATAATTTCTTTTAAATATGAAGGACAAAGTTATGGTGTATGTATTTTTTTTTTCTTACTTCGAAATTCAACTTAAGAATGCTACGGTTATTAACAGTCTACCTGAAGCCAAATTTGGGGAACTTAATAAACAAGTCACTGGCTGCAAGATGTTCCAAGAGAATTCAGGCAATAACCTGAAATATATACTCAGGCGATAACCTCAAATGACTCTCAAGAGTTAAATTTACAATTTTTCCTAAACATAGAAAGACAGAATTGATCAGTTGAGAACAGAGTCCTCAAAGAGCCAGAAATGGTATTATGCGGACCTCAATGTGTTTTGTGATGATACAGAGAATGCAAACCTTGATTTTTGCGTCTCTGATCATAGTGTTGGCCCTGGAATCAGTTAAAAGACAGAAATTTCTCCCTTTGTGTAATTGTACTCAGTTCACTTAGGTTAACATAGGTCCTTTAAGACTTTGCTAGTATGCCAGTTTAGACTTAATTGGCTCTCAACACCTCACACAATATTTTTCCCCCTGTCCTACAGAAAGGGGGAGCAAGGAAGTATAAACGAATAGTCATATAGTGAGAACAAAAATGAACTTTTTTTCTTGATGACATTTACCAGACCTGTTCACTAAACAATTCTTCTGTGCCTGCTTAATTAGTGCCAGTCTCTATCTTGGATACAGAGAGGAAATCAGATATAATGTACATTACTAGTGCCTTTCTTTTTAAATACAGTGTGGACCCTGGACAAGAAGTATGGGTTGGTATCATTTGCAAGTTTATTAGCAATGCCAACTCAGGATTCACTTGAGACCTACTAAATCAGAATCGGTATATGAATAAAGTCCCAGGTGATTTGTACATTGAAGATTTTAGAAGTACACAAACAGTAACTCAAAGACTTAGTAAGATGAAGAGAAATGCAAAGAGATGTTTGGAGCTTATGTCTTAGATATAGTATAGGCATAGGAATCCTAAAGAGCAGGACACATTTCAGTCTGAATATGGCATAATCATGCTTATCACTCCCCTGAGAGTTTCAAGTGCCTAAATAACCCAAAGTACAATGGAAAGCCTGTTGGTGAAAGTTGACTGATCTAACTCTGAGATAAAATACTTATTAAAATATTATCTTTTAATGGATTTCAGACAACTGAGGCTAAGCCCTTTAATTACTTTAAGGAACATGCTCAGTGAAGCTTTTAAAAGGTATTTTCAAAAGCTTAATTGCCCAAGAAAATAATCAGTGTAAGAGTATTAGGTTACCCAGCAGAAAATGATGTCTTCTACATACCTGTCTACATCACAAGAAGGGAGGGGTAAAAAGGGATCAAGATCTTATTCCTCAGTAAGCCTACATGTGCATGAGTGTTATGATTTTAAGACTACTCTTATATACATGTAATTTGAGCCTCTCGTCAAAACAATATAGAGAATAACTGAGCCCAGTCTTTTTAGTCATCTCTTCAACAAGGGGTAAATCATAGTCAGTTTCTAAAACTGGTGGGAGGTCCCCATAAACCTGATAACAAGGTCCCAGAGTCTAAACTGATTGACTTGGGTTAATCCCTGATCATTTGGGTTGAACATAAGAGTTACACAAGCAAATGTTAGGGGATAGAGGAGGTTGTATAAAAAAGAAAAACCAACAACTGCAAAAAGCCCAAAAGCCTGAATTTAGACCAATCCTTCCTCTTCCTCCCCTTAAAACAATTTTTAAAAATACTTTAAACACAAAGGTCGGGTTTTTGTTTTGCCAGGAATCAAAAGATTTTGCTAAAACTATGGCTGCAAAATAGTTTGTTTCAGGCATATTAGGGCACCTTAGACGAAAAATGAAACCATGATCAATTTCTATCTCCTTACCACTTCTATGACAATCGCACATGGTAAATACAAGCTCTACTCTAGCACTGCAGTAAAACTGTAAACTAGATTTAGAGCTTGGAGTGATCATATAGTACTACTTCTCCTCTTGTCCTATGTACATCTTACTTAAATCTAAACTATAAATGACAAAATTCTTATTGGGTTGATTTGTGTTTTGAGTAGTTTTAGAGCTTTTTGTTTTCATTTTCCCAAGATGATCTTGTTGCATCTGCAGTTAGAGTTTTTCAACTGACAGTACATGATTATCTAAAATGAAAGTTTTAAAGAAAATTTTCTCCACAAGGGAATCTGCGTAAGACCAGAAATCTTATGATTCGCTAGCTACTATAGGAAATGCTCTGTACACAGGAAATATTTTCCATTGTCCCTGGCCAGTAAAACAAGATAAAACTTGTACCAAACATGAACTACGATATATTTACACTGCTGTGCTAAATGGTGTTTGTGGGTATTTTTTTCCTTCTCTCTAGGGGAGAGTACGGTTTCCATGAATACACAGAGGTCAAAACAGTCACAGTGAAAATCTCTCAGAAGAACTCATAAAGAAAATACAAGAGTGGAGAGAAACTCTTCAATAGCTAAGCGTCTCCTACAGTCACTAATATAGTAGATTTTAAAGATAAAATTTTTCTTTTCTTGATTTCTTAAAAGCTAAATTATATTAGTATTAATACTACCCATAGAAAACTTGATTTGTAGCTTGTTCTGAAAGAATTGCTTTCTGAAATGTGATCCCCAAATCCTACCTAAACAAAAAAGACAAATTTGGATGTATGATCTCTCTAGCTTTGTCAAAGTTATGTGATTTTCTTTGTAGCTACCTTTCCAGGATAATCATTTTATAGAAAGGGAACAGGTGCATTTAGCTTCTTTCCCTTAGTGACTCCTTGAAGTACTTAACATACATATTAACTGCAGAGTAATTGCTCTGTTCCCAGTAGTTAAAAGTCCTTCCAGTGTTTTGAAAGGTTTCCTAGGATGTAATGTCTGCTTGTCAAATGAAATAATCCCTGTAATATGTAGCTGTAAACTGAACATAAAGCTTAATAAAAACAACCTTGCATGATTCTTGTTACTTTTGAATTTTTTTAAAATACAAGTTTTGGTTACAGTGATTTCTTCTTGTTGTCATTTAAAAACAGTATTAAACTGAGCATAAAGGTACATTTACAAGTAAAAGTCTAATCCACCCATTCTCAAATGGGTAAAGAAACATGTTTTATTTTCCAGAAGAATTCTTGAAATCAACAGATTTCATTTGAAATACATGGCCTCATTCCTTCAGTAAGCAATTATTGAGTTCCTACAAAGTTTGGGGTATGTGTTAAAGTGTTGTAAAAAAAAAAAATAGGTGAATAATGAATTGCCTATTATCTGAAGCTCTTTAATTTAGTGATTGATAAGGACACAATCCCTACCCCACAAAAAGGAGGGGTCGTTAAAAAAAATGAAGATTTTAGAAACTTGCAGTGACTTGAGGAAGAGGTCATTAAGGGAATCGGGAATGGCCTCGTAGGAAATTTGACGGAACAGAAACCTTAATGATGAGCAAATTTGCAATGAATAAAAAGGAAAGAGGATCTACAAAATGTATTGGGACATGTTGCATTGAAAAAACATTTGGAAAAATTCTATACAACATATTTTCCCCTCTTGAAATTTCAAATTGTACATCAGCAGCATATGATAGGTTCTGAGAAGTCCTGCAACCTTTTTAGTTTTAATAGAGCCTTTTTTTCCCCAAATTAGCAGATACCTTGCCTTCCCTCCCTCACTCCTCAGTTACCACCAATTAGCATTAAGAAACCCATGTTAGACTGAATACAGTGGCTCACTCCTGTAATCCCAGCACTTTGGGAGGCCACAGCAAGTAGATCACTTGAGCCTATGAGTTTGAAACCAGCCTGGGCAACAGGGGCAAAAACCCATCTAAACACACACACACATAGCCAGGCATAGGAGCACATACCTGTGGTCCAGCTACTTGGGAGGCTGAAGTAGGAGGATGGCTTGAGTCCAGGAGGTCGAGGCTGCAGTGAGCCATGATTATACCACTGCACTCTAGCCTGCGTGACAGCAGGACTCCCTAAAAAAAAGACACCCTAGTTATCCTATGTGATGAGGGAACACTTAGAGTTCTAAGGAGAGATGGGACTCAAAATAGAGGAGCTGAAAAAAATGTCCTCTGCATCAAACTCCACCAAGCTTACACATTTGCCCCTCATAACAAAGAGTTGCTGCTTGTGTTCTCATTTTTCTGTTGTGCTTCCATACACGAAATAACTTAGGCCCAAATGAAGTGAACATTTGTAACTATACACATTCTAAAATTTTCTTATTTTAGCAACTTCTTAGAATAACATTTTTTCAGATTTTATGTAAGCTTATCATTTTACATTAACAGACACTTCAGTGCCTCTGTTATTAGGAAACTCCTAGCTGCTGCAGTCAAGTGCAACAATGTAAGAACAAAGGAAGTTCATTGGCTTCTTATATAGGAAATAATTTAACACCCATTTCCAGAGTTTCTCGAACTTATGTTGGCCTATAAAATTCGCAATTTGGACTACCTCATAAAATTTGGGACATATTTACCCTTTTGAAAGCTGAAGAAACCAATGTCTTGGGGAGAACTGAAAGGCCTTTGGACAACGAGAAGGAAAACTATCCAAACACAGAAGGAGTTGTGTTTTCCTAAAGCCAGACAGTGTCTACATTTTAAAAGATGTGTTTAAAACCAAGCGTAAATAAATTAATAGGTAGACAAGTTAATATTGTAATGGCATCCAACCAGAACATTTTTAAATGTGTAACAAAGAAGGCTGAGGACAGAACAAGACAAAAGCCAGAAGCAAGTTTAAATATTTGAAAATTAAATCTTCGTTGTATAAATAAGACATTACAGGATTAAACAGAAAATATCTGTTTTATATTGGCTGGTTCTGAGCCTCTAGACATTATTTGTATTATATTTCATTATTTGTATTAAAGCCATACTGTTAGTAATTCTTAAAACCTTGAAAAGTTAAAAGGTATCTCATCAGGTCATGTGCTACAGGAATTCCGGTAAGAAATTTCATCTTGAAAAATTCAGTTTTGCAGTCATAACTATGATCTCATTGTCCTCAATGTCCAAATGATAGAGTATTTTCATCTCCAGGAATGCCAAACTAAGTGACATAAGTTGGAATTTCACTTTTCAGGCAGAGACAATGTCAGGTATCAGATACTCATTCACGAATATCTAATCTAGTTGAGTTTTCTTCTCTTTTTTTTTTTTTTTTTTTTTTTTTTTTTTTTTTTTTTTTTTTTTTGTTATTTTCTAAGGGTATGTACTTCCGGCTTCGTTAGATACACACGTCTGGCTTTATTTTGAAACAGCCAAGAAGAAATGGAGGGCAGGGTAAACGTTTTTCTTAAATTCTTGTGAACCAACCCAGAAAGTAGAGAATTTTAGCCATTTCTTCACAGAATTCAGGAGAGAGCATTGAACTCAAAAGACTGTTTCTCTGGGTAATGCATGTAATGTTTTGCGTGTCTAATTTCACTTGAACATTTAGAAGTGCAATTCTACAAATGTACCATCAGCTAAACACTAAGTTCTCCTGGCTTTTTCAGAGAATGCCGCATGACCAGGTTACATTTTCACATGAAATACGTTTCCTATTAGAGTTTCATTTACTGATTTATCCTGGGATTTTTTTAAATTTTTATTTTAAGTTCCAAGATACATGTGCAGAACGTGAAATACCATTTGACGCAACAATCCCGTTACTGGTATACACCCAAAGGAATATAAATCATTCTATTATAAAGATACATGCACACGTATATCCACTGCAGCACTATTCACAATAGTAAAGACACTGAGTCAACCCAACTGCTCATCAATGATAGACTAGGTTAAAAAAAAAAAGTTACACATACACCATAGAATACTATGCAGCCATAAAAAGGAACAAGATCTTGTCCTTTGCAAGGAAATGGATGGAGTTGGAAGCCATTATTCTCAGCAAACTAACAAAGAAAACAAAATACCTTGAGATTTTTTAACGTTCTCTGGAGATGTGTTTGAGCTTTTCCAGTCTGATGATGAAATCATATATGGAAAGGGAATCTGAAGATGATAACTAAATTTTCTAGATACCAAGATTTACTTACTGCCAGGAATGTGGGAAAGCTTTCTGTTGTAGGACACAAGGACTGTGGCTTCCTGGAGGATATCCTGAGTCAAGACACAAATGCCCACATGAGAAGCAAGGAAAGATCTAAAATCGACACCCTATCATCAAAATTGAAAGAGCTAGAGGAGCAAGATCAAAAAAAACTCAAAACCTAGCAGAAGACAAGAAATTACTAAGATCAGAGCAGAACTGAAGGAGATAGAGACACAAAAAACCCTTCAAAAAAATCAATAAATCCCAGAGCTGGTTTTTCAAAAAGATCAACAAAATAGACAAACCACTAGCCAGATTAATAAAAAGGAAAAGAGAGAATAAGTAAATTGATGCAATAAAAAATGATCAAGGGGATATCACCACAGATTCCACATAAATTCAAACCATCATCAGAGATTATTACAAACAATGCTATGCACATAAACTAGTAAACCTGGAAGAAATGGATAAATTCCTGGACACTTGCCTCCTCACAAGTCTAAACCAGGAAGAAATCAAAACCCTGAATAGACCAATAACAAGGTCTGAAGTTGAGGCAGCAATTAAGAGCCTACCACCCAAAAAAAGCCCAGGTCCAGATTGGTTCACAGCCAAATTCTACCAGACATACAAAGAGGAGCGGATACCATTCCTTCTGAAACTATTCCTAACAATCCAAAAAGAGGTAATCCTTCCCAAATCATTTTATGAGACCAACATCTTCCTGATACCAAAACCTGACAGAGACTCAGAAAGAAAAGAAAACTTCAGGACAATATCCATGATGAACATAGATGCAAAAATCTTCAATGAAATACTGGCAAACCGATTGCAATGGCACATCAAAAAGCTTATCCACCATGATCAAGTAGGCTTCATCCCGGGGATGCAAGGCTGGTTCAACATAAGCAAGTCTATAAACGTAATTCACCACATAAACAGAACCAAAGACAAAAACCACATGATTATCTCAACTGATGCAGAGAAGGCCTTTGACAAAATTCAACAGCCCTTTAATGCTAAAAACCCTCAATAAACTAGGTATTGATGAAATGTATCTCAAAATAATAAAAGCTATTTATGACAAACCAACAGCCAATATCATACTGAATGGGCAAAAACTGGAAGCACTCCCTTTGAAATCTGGCACTAGACAAGGATGCCCTCTCTCACCACTCCTATTCAATATAGTATTGGAAGTTCTAGCCAGAGCAATCAGGCAACGAAAAGAAAAAAAAGGTATTAAATAGGAAAGGAGGAAGTCAAACTGTCTCTATTTGCAGATGACAGGATTGTATATCTGGAAGACCCCATCATCTCAGCCCAAAATCTCCTGAAACGGATAAGCAACTTCAGCAAAGTCTCAGGATACAAAATCAATGTGCAAAAATCACAAGCATTCCTATACACCAATAACAGATGTAAAGAGAGCCAAATCAAGAACAAACTGCCATTCACAATTGCTACGAAGAGAATAAAATACCTAGGAATACAACTAACAAAGGATGTAAAGGACCTCTTCAAGGAGAACTACAAACCACTGCTCAACGAAATAAGAGAGGATACAAACAGATGAAGAAACATTCCATGTTCATGGTTAGGAAGAATCAATATCATGAAAATGGCCATACTGCCCAAAATAATTTACAGACTCAACACTATCCCCAGCAAGCTACCAATGACCTTCTTCGCAGAACTGGAAAAAATCACCTTAAACTTCATATGGAACCAAAAGAGAGCCCGCATAGCCAAGTCAGTTCTAAGCAAAAAGAACAAAGCTGGAGGCATCACACTACTGGACTTCAAACTATACTACAAGGCTACAGTAATCAAAACAGCATGGTACTGGTACCAAAACAGAGATATAGACCAATGGAATAGAACAGAGGACTCGGAGGCAATACCACGCAT